CATCATCATCATCATCATCATCATCACCATCACCATCATCACCATCACCATCATCACCATCACCATCATCATCATCATCATCATCATCACCATCACCATCACCATCACCACCACCATCAGCACCATCACCATCACAATCACCATCACCATCACCATCACCATCACCACCACCACCACCACCATCAGCATCATCATCATCATCATCATCATCATCATCATCATCGAGCGTTGTCATTCTGAGCGTCTGGCCGTCTCTGCCGAATTCACGGCTGGGCATGATCTCGGGTGTCAGAACATTTTGCGCCCAAGAAACGAAAGCAGAATGGGCCTTGATGGGCACAGGGCAGGTGTCTGACAAGAAATACACCTGCACCTTCCCTTAGTAGGCGCTACCTGCATGGCAGGTTGGAACGATGGTGGAGAGATCGGATATCCCAATTCGCAGACTCGATTGGGGCGTCATTCGATCCCTTCTACAGTCTGGAAAACTTTAAGCTCGCAGCCCGTAGAACTGGAGCTGATGAGGCTGCGCGAACACAAAAAATACTTGCCGCGGTGCGTTCAGGCAATCCAGCCTCCTTGCAATGTATGAGGCAATGCCGCTGAAAAGTGAAGCCAGCAAAGGAACTGCAGCAAATGCGGATGTGGCGCTGATTGAGTTCTGGATGAGTTGGTGAAGGAGGTCGACTTCTGGTGTAGTTTGCCCCGGCCACGAACAACATCCGTTGTGTTCTAGGAATGCTGCACTCCAGAACTTCGATCATTCTTGTGAGCATTCCTTGCTTCAAGTGAGCCACACAGTTTGAAAACCAAAAAGTGTGAAAAAGCGAAGCAAATTGGTTTCGCGTTTCTTTTTGTATTTGGTAGTTCTAAGTCCTGCGACCCAAACGTAACGCGGCAAGGCCCCTGAGCAAAACGCTAGAGTTTAGGCCCAGGTTGTGGTGTTTGGGTTGATTGGCCATGTTGCCTTGATGTTTGTTTGAATTCTTCTAGGTAGTTTCTGCAAAGGCAGTCAGCCAAACCAGTGACAATGCTTGATTGGAACTCGTTTTGCTGCAAGCCTGCTTGATTGATCACGACTTTAACAATCACCATTTGGTTCAACGTCCAAACCATCGCTGGGTGCAAGGTTTTTGGCTTTAGGTGGTTCATGTGCATGCAGGGTCAGCATGTGCATGTGAACAATCCACCTCGCATAGCCGACCCTCTTGTTCCACCTCAGCCTCACATCTGGCTGAGGTCTGATGTGCGAGGTACACACCAAACCCCCCACTCTTTTTCATGCGCCTTCGTCGCCACGGTCTTCGTCGGGTCGGCCGGCGTCGCCCCACCGAAAGAGGCCTCTCCGGGTGTCCGGTCGCGTCCGGGAGTCAGGTCCGGGGAAAGGTGTGGGTGTTTGGCGTCGTCGCATTTCTTTGGAGTTCACAAGTCCTTGATATAAACAAGTTGGACAAGTAGTTCCAAAACGAGGGAAGATGATCCGGCTAGTTCTAAGGGACTGTGTTGCGCAGGTCTACTTGCATTGTCTCATTGTTGCCCAAGCAGCCATTGCATGCAGACGCTGCATTTGATGCGCCACGTTCCAGGGTCAAAGTCCCTTGCACAAGCCAAGAAAGGGGTGGACTTAGTTGTGGCAATGGGCAAGAAGCTGATTGGAAGGATTCCTCACAGCCAAGAGTGGACGTTAGAGCTTCGACGAATCACCGAAAAAGAGACCAGGCAAAGATTTAGGCCTTATGAACCAACGCATAAACGCTTCAGTTCTAATTCAGAGTTTGGTTGAACACGTCGGACGTTGGTGCCTTTCCTCGAGAAATCCGAGGTGAATTTGGAAATCCCTTCGCTCGAGCTTCCCATCGCCCACTCCTTTGAGATCCGTGACCGACAGGGGCAAGCCGTCGGACTCGAGTTGAGCGCCGTGTGTCCGGCACAGTTTCCCATCGAAGCGGCTCGTAGTGAACGCAGCATGTGCCAGAGATGTTTCAAAGGCCAAACGTGAAAGGTGAAACATACTTTAAAGGGCCTGTGGTTGTGAAAGAGGCTTTGACAAATGCAAGCACCCTGTCACAGGGTAGTCATCAAGAATTCAAAGACCAAATGTGGAGTCATGCAAGGCAGTATACCTCAATGTATTCACAATCTTTCCATTGAATCCTTGTTCGGGTGTTTGGTGCGTGTGTGAAGCCTGTGTTAGGTGCTCCTCATTGCACCGAACGTGGACCTGGACCTTGACCAGGTGCTTCCTCGTGATGACGCCCGCTTCAGAGAAGCTGAGCAAGTCATGCCATTGAATCGAGGGACCTTTAGCCAGGTGCTGCGCAAGATGGACATGGTACGTGAGAAGGTGGTCGTGGTGAAGCATTTGTCCATCGGCCTCATGTGGGATGTCGGAGCCTTCCCTTGGGAGCGGGAGGTAACAGCTTTGATGGGCTTAAAGCATCCGAATATCGTGACACTCCTTGAGGAGCCAATTTCGATGAAGGATTCCATCCACTTGGTGCTGGAAAACATGGATGAGGACCTACGGCAATATATCAAGAGGACACGGCCTTTGACGCTGATCTCCTTGAGGCGTGCCTGGTTGCAGATTCTGCGCGGAGTCTATCACATGCACAAGCTCAACTGGCTGCACAGGGATCTGAAGCCCCAGAAGCTTGGCCCCAACCATTCTTGCCCAAAACTCACTGGCCCGACCCCCCTAATTAGGATGTTCTTCAAACATTCCAGGACAGGAAGATCTAACTCAGGCAATGTGTGATCCAAATATATACATATCATATCAAAAAATAATATATATATATATATATGGGCATATATATATACACATACATGGCTCAAGCCATTTACTACCTCAAGCCAAAGCAGGAAGGTTAGTTCCAGCCATTTCGTGGTCCAGCACCACAGGCTGAACAAGAACGACAAGAACCCTACTTCCTGAACAAGGGCGCCTACAAGTTTGCCTTCATGAAGCAGGCTTACCTGGTCTGCTCAGGCTGCCGAGGCAGCTGGATCTGGCAAGATAGACTCCGCCAGCATCCTCAACTCACGTGCAATAGTTGTGGGAAAGCATGGCAACGAGCCCTACCAGATCTGCGGCGAAAACGCCAAGTGCAGTGGGCATCATGGAACTTTCCCCAAGATGGGGAAAAATGGCCAAGAAAGAGCTTCAAGGAAGCACTTCTGGAGCCACCGCCGGGCCTACATGGAGGCAACCCTGGCAAAAAGAACAAGAAGAACAAACAAACGGCACTTCAGAAGGCGGTCCAAGAGCATTGGAGCAACCTGCCGGAGAGCCTCAAGACCCAATGTGAGGCTATGGGGATCCAAGCAAATGCTCCTCCGCCTCCACCTGATCTTCCAACTTTGTTGAAAGAACATCTTGCCAGCCTGCCTTCAGACCTCAAAGAAGCAGTTGAAAAGATAGTTGAGCCTAGCAAACCAGAGCCAACGATTGCCACGAAATTGAAGCAGTCCGTTGGCACGCTCAAACAGCTCACGGAGAAGAAGGCCATGTTGCAGAGCAAAGCGGATGGAGTCAAGCAACAGTATTCGGCTCTACTTCAAGGCCAAGATTGAAGGAGCACAGAAAGAGCTTCAAGACCATACAGCACAATACAACCTGCAACTTGAGCAGGACAAAAAGACGGCTGAGGAAGTAAATGTTGATCCGGACGAGATCTCAGCTGAAAAGCTCATGATCATCATGTCCAATGTAGGAGTGCATGCCACTGCAGAGCAGGTGACGACCTTTGCACAGAAGCTCAGCGAGAATGCAATGAAAAGGCGAAAGTGTGGGTAACCCTGCATGCAAGCATGAAGAACAAGGGGCAGCATACTTGGTCAGCAAGCAGGTGCTGGGGGCAGCATGTGCAGTTGAGCCATCCTATGCAGTTTTTGGCTCAGAGGATCTGACTGGGCAGCTCAGTTTGACCTTTGGGCATGGGGCACAGACACCTTGTGCTGAGGTGTTGACGGGTCAGGAAATCTCGACATTTCCTAGTTTTTGTGGGGGAGCCGGGATGACTATGGAAGAGCCCATGGACGTAGACCCTGACTCCACTGAACAAGAGCAAACTACTTTTGATGAGCAGCGCCACTCCCAGTCTCCACTGGATTTTGTGCTGCAAAATCTACAATACCGTTTGGGCAACCCGCGCAATCGGTGTTTCGCAAATTCTCCTTTCAGACTCTGGACTTGGGCTGGCAGTTTCATGGGAGGGGCAGCTCTGTGGAACAAAACCACGGCAGCTGTCATGCTGGCTCTGACAGATGATGAGGTGGTTCAACTACCACAAATTCAATCTCTCCAACCCCTTTGGCAGAGGTTTGATGACAGCGTCCAAGATGATGCTTCTGAGTTCTTGATGGAACTCAATGACTTGGCAGCAACAAAGACCACGCTGGGGCACTATTACCAGGTCGATCACAGACAACAGGTACATCGTAGAGCAGCTTTTCCGGTGCACCTTGTCTGCCCTGAATCTAGTGAACCACAAGAGCTTGAGCAGTTGATCAACAACTGGGCCAACACCGCAGAAGGTCAAGTATTTGATGGAGAGGGACTGTGGGTGGCCCAAATTGGGCGTTACCGATGGGTCAAAGGTGAGTGGACCAAACACCACCAAATCCTGCAAGTTCCTAGCATCTTCAATTTGCCGGTCACCAAAGATGGCAGCACCACGGCAACAGAGCAGTATTCATTGATTGGCTTGCTGTGTCACTCTGGTGACGCACACAAGAGTGGACATTTCTTTGCCATCTACGTATACAGGGGTCTTTTCTGGCTGGTTGATGATGGTGCATATCCACGACCGGTCCCGAGGCTACATGATGCACAGAAAATGCAAATTGTCCAAGTGTGGGCGGTGCCTTCGAAACTCCTGCTGCCATTAGAGTTGCCATGTGACTTTCCGTCATCTATGCAGCCAGTTGGTGATGAGAGGCCGACGAAAAGACAGTGCCAAGACTCCATCAATTTCACTTTTGCCAATGTCACATCCTTAGGTCCTGAGGTCCGTCAGTGGCTGCTATGTCGACAAAGAACCCCAATCTTTGTTGCGGAGACACACCTGGCTCAGGAAGACATGCAAAAAGCTCAGCAATGGTTTGCCAGCAGAGGCTTTGGTGTTCTGGGGCACCCGGCAGCAGTCAGCCCGAAAGGGGGCACAAATGGGGGCATGCTCGTCCTCTACCCCACTGACCAACACATACACTTTGTCCAGCAACAGGTCATTGATGGTTGTGGTTGGTATGCAGTGCACTGGAGTTTTGCAAGCTTGGATTTGATAGTGGTGATGGTATATTTCAAATGCGGAGAAGGCATCCAAGGGCCCACCAATACGCTGCTTTGGTCTGGCTTGCTCACCTTTGTGACAGGGCTGCTGAAACCGGTCATTGTTCTTGGTGACTTCAATGTCACGCCTGAGGAGTTCATGACCACATCCATGAGCTCCATCATGAAAGTACAAGTCATTGCAACCGGTGAAGACACCTGTTCTACTGGCAGGGAAATTGATTGGGGCTTTGCAAGTGACTACTTGGCCGCGGATTTGCAGGTGGATGCTGACTGGATTGTGCCATTCAGACCACATGCTCAGCTCAATTTCCGGTTGGCCAAGAGGGTGGAACACATCGCTCTGCAACAAATTGTGCGTTTCAATCCGGCGCCCAGACTGGAGAAGATCACCACAGAGTGGACCAAGATCCCAGACATGGTGCCGGAAGTCAAATGGTTGGACCTTCAAAATGACTCCTTGACCATGACAGCTGGCGCTTTGTACAGCAAGATTGAAAGATATGTACTTCAGAACATTGAAAACCCAAAGCTGGGGCGGGGCACTCAGTTGATCTATGTCACCCGACCGCTGGCTGACCCGAGTCGACCCTGGATCTGGCGCAAAGGAGGCCAAGCCTACTGGGCACAATTTGAAGTCCGATTACAACAGCACCTTCATCGTACGCAGAGGGACCAGAGCAAGTTGCATCACTTACAAAGGCTAGGGTGGCACCTGGCTGCCCATTGGCATGGTGATGCTAAAGTCACTCTGGAAGGCTTCCACCTTCTGTTTGACATGCTGTGGACCAATCATGATGAGGAGCACATCCACGTCTTGCTCAAGTTTGCGAAGGAACAGCGCATGCTGCATCAGACGGAGGCTTTCACAGTTGAGACGGAAGCCTACAGAATGTGGATGAACAAGGCTACAGAGAAAGGCTGCCGAGGCCTTTACCGCACTCTCAAGAAGGATGAGCTGCCCTATCTGCGGCCCTTTCAAGGACGTCCCAGAGCTGAAAGGATGGCTTTGAGGCTGCAACAATGGGGCAACATTTGGCACATTCAGGATGAACCGTCACAAATGGAGGCCCTGGTACACCTTCAAGAGAAAGCGCGCAGTCAGTGCAATGACCTCAAACCGTTGACTGAGGCGCATGTCTGGAAAACAATCAAACAGCTGTCACAAAAAGCACCTGGACTTGATGGGGTTGGGTTTGATTTCTTCCGTGCCCTTCCGTTCCAAGCTATGACTAGTCTGATTGAGTTTTTCCACAAGGTTGAAGAGCAGGCTACCATCCCAAACCAATGGGCAGTCTCGTTGATAGCATTGATTCCCAAAAGTGCAGACATTGAACGGCCAATTGCCTTGGTGGCGTCGATGTATCGATTGTGGTGCCGACTCCGAGCACCCTACACACGACAGTGGCAACTTGAGATCCAGCAAGAATATTTCTGGGAGAGGGCCATGCCTGGCACAGAATGCTTGCAGGTGGCTTTGAAGCGGTCGTTCATGACAGAGCATCACAGTGCAATGCAGAAGACGGTTGTGTCAGTATTGCTAGATCTCTCCAACTTCTATGACAGAATCAACCTGAGCAAGTTAGCCACACGATGGTTGGAGTCCTCCTACCCACCTGTCCATGCGGCTTTGGCCATGCAGATCTACAGAGGGGGACGCATTCTGGAAGCAGAAGGAGAAGCATCACGCCAAGTTTGGGCCACCCATGGCATTTTGGCGGGAGATCCACAGGCTCCCCTGGCGGCAAAGATCTACCTGAAGGATGCTCTCTTGAAGTTCCACCGGAAATTCCCTCAGCTTCATATAGATCTCTGGATAGATGACCTGTCTTTTGATGTTGTTGACCGCAATCCTGCAAATGCGGTCAGAGTTGCCATCTCGGCATACAATTATATTGCCCAGCAGTTGCAAGAGGATGATCTGGTCATTTCCACAAAGAAGACGGGGTTCGTTGTTAGCAATGCCAAGGCAAAGGCACTGTTGAAACAACAGCTACCTCCGGAAGGTCCTGCAGTCCATGATGTCATGAGGGACTTAGGCCTGGACTGTACAGCGGGTAGACTTCGGCGTGTGCAAACTATGAAGCAGAGGAGGTTCAAAGCCAACAGAAAAACCAAGAAGCTGCAGCTGTTGAAAATTCCCCTACGTGCCATCCGCCTCAAACTGTACAAGGGCAGCATCATTGCTGGCATCAGTTGGGGCCATGAGGCCATGGGCCTGGCACCACAAGTTCGTCGGCGCATCAGAGCTACGATGGGCCGCCAGATGGGTCTACAAAAAAACAGGCAGTCTGGACATTCTGTTTGACATGCACTCAAAGCATCAGGATCCGGACTATGGTGCCTTCATTGATCAGATCAAGGCTTTTCACCGGTTTTTTGGTGGGTGGCCTGAACATTTGGCCAAAGACTTGGAGAAAGCATGGCATGTCCAGAGGGAAAAGCTTCAACAGGCCAAATACCCCTGGCAAGTCGCCAAGGGCCCAGTATCAGCTTTGCAATGCTACCTCATGGAGAGGGGTTGGAACACAGAACAGCATCATGTCTGGGTCAAGCCTGGCTACAATGGACAAGATGATTTCAAGCTCGACATGCATTCACGTTGGCCAGCTCTCAAGCAAGAGCTCAAGCGAGCAGAAGTTTGGGATCGCACCCATCGGATTAGCCAACGATCCATGCTCCAAGAAGTGCAACAGTTGCTGGACTGGAGGCCCTGGCAGCGATACAGCAAACAGCTGAATAGTCGCAATGCTTGTGCCTTGATGACTTGGCATCAGGGTGCCATTTTCACGAAGCAGACTGATGGTGAACACACTACCCATCTCAAGTGTCCCCATTGCGGACAGCCTGCCACAGCAGTACATGTACTTTGGTTGTGCAAAGAAACAAGAAGCCATTTTCCTGAACTGCCCTCAGCAGATGTCTTCGAGCTTGAGCATGGTCTGAACCTGGAATTCTGGGCTCAAGGTCTTCTGCAGATTCCTGCCGTTCAGGTGTCCACTGGAGGTGCGGCTGTGCAGGCTTGGGGATCCTGGAGCACTCAAGACGAGTTGGCATTGAAGAGACAGGAGGCGGCCACCATCGGCATTTCGACGACCTCCAAAGATGTCAGAGTGCGGCACTTTGTCGTGGCGTTGGTGCATCATGTCCTGATTGGTGGACAGCTGTACCGGCAAGGTGCAGTCATCACCACTTTGCCGGGCGCACAGAGCTGGGCGAGAGCCTGGTACTATGGAGTCAGAATGGTGGCACACTATGTGAACTTGCAGCAGCCTGTGGTCGTGCATGTTAGCTCAACAACTGCATGGGAGGCCTGGACGCAGAGTCGACACAGGGAGATCTTCTTTGATTTCAATGATCTCATTTCTTTGGACCAAAGAACGAGGATCAAGGTCCTGGCCATCTCGCAGGCCCAGCTAAAGGACATGCCAAAAACGGAATGGTCCCTCCGCAGTCGCATGGCAGATGCCAAGAAGGCAGCGCAGGAAGTGGCCTTGTCGATGCAACCGCATGAACAAGAGGCCATTTTAAAGGAACAAGATGCCAAGTACCAGCGCATTGCACCGCTGGTCATCAAGCGCATTCAGCATTTGCAGGATGACAAAACCCATTTTCTCAATCAGGCCAGAGAAAGCGGGAAAGAAGCTCGAAAACATGCCAGAGAACAGAAGAAAGCAGCCTTTCACGGCTTACTCCAAGCCAACCGTGGGGAGGGCCACCAATGGGTCTCCAAAGGCTGCAGTGTTCAATGCCAGCAATGTAAGAAGCGCCTGACTATGCACAACAAAATTGAGGAGTTACAGCAAGGCACCACGGAGGCATGCCCGATGTCTGAGCGGCTTTCCATCGTTGGGGGTGCACCCCAGCCCATGGATACGGGCACCAAGGCTTCCTTTTTGAGCAGCATTCTTGACGGCACCATGGTTGGAATGGGATCTCACCACTTCCAACTGCAGACGAATTATGTCGTTTGTGCCAAATGCAGCGTTCGACAGCTCAAGAATTCTTCCAAAGAGAAACTTGCAGCCATGGCCAATGGACGTTGTTGGGATGAAATTTGGTGTCCGGCGACAGGATGGATGGGTCATGGCACTCATCAAATGTGGCGGAAAGGCAAGAAGCTCTTCTGCCAGCAATGCAAGGCGCAGGCCATCCATCAGGGTGAAGGATATATGGCCAGCAAGTCCTTGCGGAAGCCTTGTGGGGAAGCAGACCGTGGCCAGCAGCTTCCGCTATGCTTTCGACCCAATGAGGTCAGCTCGTGAAACCAGACAAGGAGCGTAGAAAAAAAAATATACACATACACACACACACACATGCATATTTCCCACCCAAAGCGCGCTTTTACTGCGTCAATTTCCCACCCAAGAACCATCCAAAAAAACATGCAAATTACATATGAAAGTACACGTCACACAAAAAATTGGCTCACAGTCTTAAACAAACCCGTCTGGATATATATATATATATACACATGTATATTCTTTCTATATTGCCTTAGTTTGAGGCCTCGCAGATTTTGTCCACTCTCCTCACAGCAGGAATATCCTGGTGAATTGGAAGACACGCACCTTGAAGGTCGCAGACTTCGGCTTGAGCCGGAGGCAGACCATTCAGAGCCTAGAATGTTTTGGATGGACTGGCACGGCTGGCGCGGGACCGCGCCATCTGACCCAGGAAGTGGTGACCTTGTGGTATCGGGCGCCCGAAGTTTTGTTGGGAGGTCACTACGACAAAAGTGTGGACCTGTGGTCCCTGGGATGCATTTTTGGCGAGATGGTCACGCAATGGCCACTCTTCGCCGGCGACTCCGAGCTTGGGCAACTCATGTGCATCTTTCAGATGCTGGGGACTCCCTCGAACCAGTCCTGGCCGGGAGTCCAATCTCTGCGGCACTACAGTCCTCACTTCCCCAAGTGGAGTGAAGGACGCTTGGCGGAGATGCTCACTGGCAGGCAGGGGCTGTTGTTTCGGAGATGGTTGGCTCAGGGGCTGTAAGGGATGCTTCTCCACTGAGTGTGAAAGCCACTTGTCATATTGCAACAGAGCAAACTTTCATCCATTTGAAAGTTCTTTCTGGCCGTGTTGGTTCGGCTTTGTTCAGTAGGCTGAACATATTTGTGTTTCGTATTTAGCATTTGGAGAAGGTGCTCGGAGAATGTGCGAATATCCGGCGCTTAGCACGAACAACCAAGTTTCATCACGACCCAGGCTGTGGTGCAAACCTGAGGTGTTCGGCTTCCAGCTTGTAAAAGGAAGAATATACCGACATTTTTTCACTCTCCAACCTCCTTGACTCGAAAAGTCCAACATCCTCCAGGTCGGATTGGGAGAGGCCATTTCTGCATGCTGTTCTGGATGGAACCTTGAAGCCTTGCCCCTCGCAGCGGACCTCATCTCGTCAGTTGCTGCGGATGATGGAACGCTGGACAGGCCAAGGGTTGGGGGTTTCCTTGCGGTGCTGTAGCAGGAGATGGGTTGGGGTTCTAGGACATCTCCCTTTGTACCGCATAGGTGACACCACGAAATGGTGAGTACGGCAGCGTTTGGGACTACCTTCGAGGATATGATATGAGGACACGTCCGCTTACTTGGGAGCTCACTTCCATGAGATTCTGCAATTGGACAAGTGAAAGGGTCTAGAGTCCAGAGCAAAACATATTGGGCTAGCAACACATCACCAAGGACATGGTAAACTACAACTTTCTTTGGCATCCAAATAGAATTTGTGATACAGGTGATGCCGTTTGTCACTTTGTCTGTTTTCGACCAGGTCATGAAATTGCCAGTGAAGTCTTTGCCATTTGCTGCGGAATCGCTGCCCAACGTGGGCCTTTCACATTGACTGCTGGGTATGGAGTTCCGGAACTCCAGTCTTTGATGAGACCTCCATTCCGATCCTTTCCGCAGGTCTTCTTTCGCAAAATCCTTTCCTTCAGCTATGCCTTTTTCTGACCAGGCTTGCAGCAGATCTGTGCCTGTCGATTGCATCTAATTCAACTCTTGGAATCCCTTAGCTCTGGGCTGCAATGGTTGGCCTCGTGTGGCTTTGCCACGCATCGTTCCCTTATAAGCCTCTAGAGGTATCGTTTCAAGCAGCCTGACCAGAGTCATGGTCAGCTCTCGCATAGGTTACTCAGAGCATCTTAGAGCTAGAATACGTTCTCCTGGAGAACACTGCATAGAGTGGGATTCTACAAAGGCCCTTGGACCAAAAGGCCTTCGCCGAGGACGATTTTTTCCTTGAGTTGGCATGCTTGTGCGCCTTTCATCTCCAGATTTTTCTTTCGAACACCGAGCTTTGTTTCAAACTGGAAGATGAGTTTAGCTGTTGAGTGGTTTCTTAGAACGCAGGAGCTTCACTTGCAAGACAAACCATCAAAGGAGCTCACACATGAGCTTGATTGAGCTTCATTCATAAGGCAGGTGTCCTTCAGTCTTCTGAATTTCCTGTCTTTCTCCACCTTGTCAGGTTAATGGGAGGCCTCCTTAGAGCCAGGAAACTCGCTGTTCAAATCCTTCGTAGGAGACGGGCAGGATTGGCGATGATTGCAAACATCCACCCCAAAGGGCTCTGCTGCATTTGTATGCTCACTTGCCAAAGACTTCAAGAGAAGCCCAACAGATGTCCAGCCTGTTGAGCTTCTGAGCTAAGAAAAACATCACGTCTATGTGGGTTTGCGCGATCTTCACGTCATGTTCTTGTCCAAGATCTTCCTGCACTTCCATCGGACCGAGTCAGACGACGCCATATCTGGCGTGCGTACGCGTACGCGTACACGTTCGTACCGCGTTGCTTGGCGGCGAGGAGCTGTGGCGGAGGCGGATGGCTAGAGGCAAGGCGAAGTCGGAGACAAGACAGTGGGTGTGTCATGTGGACTCTTGATTCATAGAAAGGGCTAAGGCCTCTGAACAGAGGTTTTACAATGGTCTTGGGGGGTCTTATTCAGCAAGAGTCTACATTGAAATAGGGAGCCCCCCCTAGCCTGCAGATTAACATGACCCTGAAAACTCACTGGGTGGTAGAGGAGAATCGTCTTACAGGGTCTATGTTCACGGTCTATGTTAGTCTGCAGGGGGGGTGTGTCAATGCCGAGAAGTGCTCGTGGTTCCCGACGTGCACCCAAATGCATCTCCTCTGGAGGATTCCTGCCCGGTGATAGTGGGCCAATACCTGGTGTGGAGCATCATAACTACCTGAACCCCAAACAACCAAAAAACACACGGTTGTTCCAATAAGGCAATGGAGATCTAATAGGAAATGGCTGGGACTGGGAACATCCATTTCTTTCTGGTTGTTTGGGTTTCCAGGTACTCATTGTTTGGAAATCTGGTCGCTATGCTTTGGCACATGAGAGTTTCTCAACTTTCTTCACGAACGCACTTCTCTGCACAGGAGATCAACTTTGAGCGGCTCAGCAACAGTGAATTTGCGGCGAACCTGACAGAGCCGATGCCTCGGTGCGCCACGACGAAGCCTGCACGACGAGCCCAAGCCACGAAGCTGCCTCCATGAGTCATGTAGACGATGAATTAAGATCCCCCAGATGAAAAGGATTTCCAATTCAAATGGGAAGGTTACGTTTACTAATCAAGAGTCTACTAAGAGTCTACTACATGAGTATTGGAGAAAATCAGGCCCCCCCATTCGGTGCCCCGAAAACAGACCTCTTCCCGTCCTCCCATCCCCAAGACCGCGAGGTCTCTTCCCAGACCGCGAGATGGATCCAAGACCCGCACGATCTTGCGAACTCGGTCTGTTTGGAACTTGCCACCCTCAGCTTTGCCTCTCAGCTTTGCCTCTCAGCTTTGCCGCTTTGCCTCTCCTTTTGAAATCACTGGGCATCTCTCATCAGGCTTCGCCGCTCGAAAGTCCAGGGGCCAACCTGGCATCGAGCCGCAGAGGAGGCGTGGGGGCGCCAGCGAAATCCTTCGGGTTCAAGTGTGCCACCAGCGACCAAAAGATGCTTGGGCTGTTGCAGAGGGCACTCTTCTGTGTCCACTCGCTTCATTTTGCACTTGAAGGTGTGGCGAAACGGATTCTGTCACAACTGATCCACATTGACGATTTCTGCGGAGATTCCGAGCGAGCGGTTGCCTGCCTCCAAGATACTGGATGGTTTGAAGGACGGCCTATTTGGAATTCTTCAGGTTTCAGGGAAAGACCCCGAAACTCAGAGAACCCACCTACCGACCGCGCCACAAAAAGCCACCGAGCGGCGCCAGCGACAAAACCGGGGGTCCCCGGTAACCCGCCCACACGAGGGGTCGTCGCCCTCCCTCTATAGGCCCAACGGCGTCTCCCCGGCCTCTCCTTCGAGGAGGCCGCGGAGGTGGCGAATGCGTGGCGTGGCGGAGAAGTCGGTTCTTCATCGTTGAAGTTTTTCCACGGAGTGACGTCCGCGGGGAGTGTAGTCGAGTGGGGAGTGTAGCACTTGGTTCCTTCTTTTTTTGGGAGGAAGCTGAGCTGTTTATTGGATGTTTGAATTCTTTAGCAGTACGACTGGCAGTCATGCAAAAGTATCTGAAAACTCAAGATTGACCAAGGTCTTCTTTCTGGTGCGTTCTTCTTGGTGGTTAACATGCGTGGATTGATCTTTTTTCTGGAAAACAAGAACAGAGTCTTTTGGCACAATAAGCTGACTCACCGGAACTTGAGTTCAAGTCCAAGGCTGGCCTTTGGCCCCCCTTCACGGTCCTCCTCCTCCAGATGCCGAGAAGGCACGGAATCCATGCATTTGGTGACGGGTTTTCAGTCGCTATCTTTCTTTGTAAGGTTGGGTGAAACATGCATGCAGTTCGTATTGGCACAACCAGACACTGTTGCGTCGGTTTTCCGTTGATTTGGTGACAAAAGAGCCCTGCCTTCGCACTGCCTGACCTGACCTTTCGGGTGGCGAGGTGACCGGGTCCACCGGTTGAACCCCAATGGTCCAGGCACTTTGCCTCCTTGGCCTCACCTGGTGGAAGTCTTTCTGGCTGAGACCTCCCGGGCGCGAGCGCTCCGTCCGTGTCGCGAGACGAGGGGAGTGGGGGCGGAGTGGACGCTCTTCGTCCGAACTCGGAGGGCCGAGAGACGGCGGTTCTTCGGCCGAAAGCGGAGCATGGGTTGGAAACCCGCGGAGCATGGATGGTTGAAACGAGCATGAGAACGTGTTGGTTTTCGTCCAAGAATCAACCAGCAATATGGATACCCCGAATCATACCGATCCAAATCGTCATAGTCGGACAAGATGGATGCAAGGCCTAGAAGACTCAGGCTCAGCGGTACCACTTATCATGCTTTCGAGCGTGCTGTCGAGACTCTGCGCGTAAAGCCGCTCCGCGCCGGGCCGTAGCACCTTTGTGGCTCTTGGCCGAAAGTTGCCAGAGACCAAGTTGTGGCAAAAGCTGCGGCCTCAGCAATCTGCGAGAGATCTGCTTGCAGAGTCTGGGCAGGTTCAGATGCTAAGCTGGAGCTGGAGCACGAGAATCTAGGTCCTCAGAGTTTCTTTAGGCTTTGGGATCATGTTTCAGAGCACCATGAAATTCATGTTTGTTCATGTGTCCTATAGTGGATGTGTTAGGAGCTTACTTTCTTTGTCAAATCACATGTCACATGTTCCTTGGATAGACCCCCGTTCTTCCAAGGCATAACTCTGCCTGCTCCATCCATATCTTCTTCCAGACGGTCGACGGTTCCTACTCCCTCCTTCGCCCGACATTCTGAGGCACAACAACATCAACCGTCCAGCTCCTAACCGCTGCTTGCCCATCATCCGACTCAGTGGACCTTTTCAGTTTGGACCAGGTCGGTCACACCCATAGGTCGTCACATGTCTTGGACCACCGTGGCAATCCGGTCATCTCTTTGGGGACAGGGTCTATGCCTTTGATGTTTGGATGTCCTGCCCCTCTTGGGAAGGGTCTCGGGTCCACCGAGAACGCCTGGCGAGAACGGCTCGGCCACCCAGGACCCACCGTTTTTTGCAACTTCACAAAGCCTCTTGGAGCGCCCGCGCCCGTCGTTCCGAGAATGGCAACCATTCAATACTGTTAGTGTGGGTGTCGACCGGGGGTGCAGACCCCTGGGCAAGTCTGAATCATTGATTTTGAGCAACTGCTGAGCTAGGTACCGGCTCAAAAAAAAAGGTTGGTCTCTTCCGTCGAAAGGAGCGAACGGTTGCTTTCGGATGCTTGTCACCCTCGGATGCTCTCGCCGAACCCGAGCTCCGTCGAGCGCGGCCAGCGCACCGCAGCGAGCTCGTGGGTGGTTTTTGGAACCGGTCGTCTTTCCGACGCACGGGCGAGCGTCTTCGTGGCAAGGTGCACCAATGGCACTCCAGGAACGGCATCGATGGATGGCGGCCAACGTGGCCGCAGCCTTTGGCATGTCCGACAGGCCAAAAGGGAGGGCGCTTGACGCATGGCTGCTGGCGCCGGCGGCGCTGAGAGACGCATGGGAGCTGGGAAAGCAGTGCACCGAAGGATAGGCCGCCTCCACATGAATGGACCCGCGGCCTCCATGGAGGACCCTGCCACCTCCTTCTAGGCACGCTCCCTACGAGGACCCTGCCAACTCCTTGTAGGCCCAGCACGACAAGAGGGTTGAAACATTTCTGCCATGGCCATCGTTTGAGAAGACGACCACAAACCGGAACGTCCCAAGGGTGCAATTGACGCTGGACCGCTCGGACCTACCATGAAGGGACCACCCCAGACATGGTCAACCGACCTCATTGGGAAGTACCAACAGAGGTTGAAGAACCCTAGTTCGGCTATCCTATGGGTCCCCCTGTAGGGTCCTATAAGGTCCTTCATCCCCACCGACTGGCGGATGGCTTTCGCAGGGTCCACGTCGTCGAGCAAGTCTTGGGCGAGTACAATAACCTTAAGAAGTTGAATGACTTCCTTGAAGGCCAGGATGCTCCTATTGTTTTGGAAGGGGCCGGGAGCTTCTGGCAAGTCATTGTTCAAAGCCTCGAGATCCTTTCTACTGAATCTGGAAATGCTGTTCAACAGGTTGGCTCTCTCCTGTTTTGGAACTGCAGTCGTTGAAATCGTCCGTTTGGGGTTGACTCTCATGTCGAGCTTTGACTTTGTTTCCACAGCTGCCTCAGCATCAATGACACTTGGGACTCGTGGTATTTTTGGTGCACAAACAAAGAGACTGCACCACTCAGCAGTCTCAGCAGTCTCTCCCGGTGCCATTGAGGCAAAAGCAAACACAAGCACGTTTTCGTGTACTACCAGCGGCCCGATGTGATCAACGACGCCAATGAGCTTGTAGATGCAAAAGGCGGGGACCGTCGATGGGTCGGCCAATCGACCCAAAAACACAGGAAAGCAAGGAAAATGGACCTTTTTTCCGAAGAGCACGTCTTCTCACTTTGCATTGTACCTGGAAGGCGAATGAGCAAGCACCGTAACCAAGCACTCGTAACCAAGCACGAACCCACTCCGCAGATTGCTCATGGCCAAGTGTTCTTGGTTCAGCTTTGTGCCATTTGAGTCGAGTCGAGACTCGGTCGACCGAACGGACGTGGGTCCACGGAACCGTGAGGTGATGCCAAGCTCATGATCACCACGGGTGAGCATGAGGATGTACGAATAAAGAACCGAGCAGCAACTCGGACCTGACCGCTTCTTTTTGGGGTGGTTGGGTGGCTGGTGAAGGCAGGAAGCTCAGGAAGCCCAGGAGGCCCAGGCTGAAGAGGTGTTCCTTCTGGCCACGCCTTCCTGAGGGCCATACAAGGGGCGGTTGAGTGATTGCTGAAGCGAAGAGCAGGGGTGGAAGTGCAGAACGGCTGATGCTGAGTTTCAAGTTTTTCCCCAACGCGTCGCGAAGGGTTCTCATTTAACTCTGGGGGTCTGGGTGGACCATGCTCGAGCACAGCACGGCCCCGATCGAGGTTTATTTCCTCCGAAACGTGGCTGATTCCAAGCCCGTGAAGGCCCGAGCACTCGAACTCCTTGCGTTCCTTCGTTCCAACCAAACCCGTTTGGGCTCCAGTCGTACCTCCTCAGGTTCAGTATGACTGGACCCGAACCTGGCCCCCCAGTCCCACCGAAACGAAACGAAGGTACGACTGGAGCCCAAACGCGAAACGCGCCAGCGAGCGCCAGCGACGTGTTCCGGTGAAACCGTAACGGTCCGGGCCAGGCGGACGTCGCCTCTGACGGCGACCTTCTGTTCGGCGAGATGGCAGCATCTCCACTGGAGAGCCGGGACACACAGGGGATGCGAACAACACAAGTCTGGGTCATGGAGTCATGTCTGGGTGTGATGGGTGTGATCAGACCAGGGATGTGGTTTTGGTTGTTTTCTGAGAATGATGGGAAAAGCGGTTTGCTCAATTGCACGGGCAAGAACAGCTGCTTCAATCACCAGAATTTAGCTTCACACTGGATGAATGGAATTCACTGTCACCGCATACAGCAGAATTGTACAGCCTCATGACAACCAGAGGCCAGACTTCCGGTTGTTTATTCTTTGCGCAGAGCATGCGCTTTTGGAGATTTGTTGTATACAATGCAGCCAAACTACAGTTGTAGAAATTCTGGATGAGAGAAGAGAAGGCCCGCAAACTCCTAGTCTGAGTTGTGTCGTCCTCTCTTTCCGCTTGTTTTTGTGCCGATGGGACCTGAGTTGGTATATACTTTGGACAATGCCTTGCCTTGCAAAGAACAGTTGGACACCGGTCTCGCAGTTGGAGCGCCTTGTTTTTTCACCCGGTCTCGACCGCATGGCAGGTCTGAACACAGGCCTGCCGCACCGGGGGTCCGTCTCGGGTGTTCGTCTCGGGTGGAACGTGCCAGGTGACCCAGGGTCGGATGGGGATCCCAACCGTCGAACCGGACGGAGGATGGGTGTGGGGTTCGTCTGGCGAGAAGGTCGCAACGATCGGGCTTGGGCCGAACGAACGAATGCCGCGCGGCCTTGTACACCTGGTCCGGTGGAAGAGCTGCAGATCATCAATAAACGCATGTTTTTCCAGCTGGACGCGGAATTGCCTGTTGGGCCACTGAGGGGACAAACATCCAACGAAGCTGGTGTTTTGCCATTGTGTGCTCGTGTAAACATCACAATAAGTACAAAGCGGGCACACGGTCTGCCCCACTCACGACAGCTCTGTGGAACGTGAGCTTCCTGATGTACCTCCTGTGTACCTTCTACTTTTAACAGCTTAAACCAAGCATCATTCGAATCATGTCCAACCAAAAAAGGGCAAAACCCCCCGCGGAAGGTCTCTCCGGGAGCCTGTTTCTCCGGCCTCCGGGCTTGGGACACTCCCTGAAGCTCGGTCCGAGTGACTCGCACCGGAGGCCTCTTGGATGTCTTCAAGCCCTTAGTCAGCCAAGCGTCCACCGATTGGGCCTCCTGCGAGGCGGAGCAAGCCCATGAGCGCGGAGGCCAAGGTACGCGAAGCCGTACGCGAAGGGTCTTCAAGGCGGTCACACGAAAGTGCCAGAGCCAGGTTTTGGACTGTGCCGTGGATGTCTGTGTGTGGTGTTTGCCCATGACATGAGACTCTTCATTGTGCTCTCCATCTCATATCATTTGACATATCAGATTTTGTTAGTCATTGTCCCACCATGTTGGGCTTATATTTCAATAGGGGGCCCCTTTCAACCAATGGCTTTGTTTTTTAGAGGTTCCCAGAGGTCGAAGTGGCGGGGGGTCTCTCACCCCAGACCCAACACAGACACTACATCAGTCAGAACACGCTCAGAACACGGCGATCCATGTGGTTAAGCGCGCGCGCGCGCGCAAAGCCGCGCGCGCTTCGAGAGACTCCGTTCCTGGGTGTGCGCTCGTGAATGGGGGGGGGTGCGATCGCCGAAGCAGTTCGGACTTGGCAGTCATCTAAATGGGTGTGGAGTAGAATAGGGAGACCTCCCGGGCAATGACCCCCTGGAAGAAGGAACATAGACCAGTCTACCCACCGGGCCATGCCCAAGCTATGCGGGCGGTGTGGAATCACCTCACCTGTCGCAACGAAGTCTGCACAAAGACTCCACTGAGAGTATGAGCAGCCGAAGAGTTGAATCGAACAAACAGGGCAAAGGCTCGTCGCAAGGAGCAGGACTCTGGGAGGAAGCCGAGGAGATCTGGGTCTCCAGGGACCATCGTCCAGACCTGGTGGACACTGGAAGGAGGTGCCAGGTGCCAGGACTTTCGGTCTGCAAGCGACCACGGCCATTGCAACATCGCACCACGGCCACCCTCCACGGTGCCACCCTCCACGGTGCGACGGAGGCGGTGGTCCTCGAGGACTTGGTGCGACTGAGGTTGGTCGATTCCGCCACGGGAGGGGAGGTTTCGTCGAGGCGGGAAAGGGGGAGGGGAGGCGAAGGGTGAAGGCTTTGGGTGAAGGCTTGGCAGGAAGAAAGGCATCAAGCAGGAGTTTCCCAACAGACCCTCCCTTCAGGTTTCCACAGGTTCCCCCACAGGTTCCTGCATGACTGTGAGTGATGGTCTCAGGTTCAAGACCACCTTTGAGAAGTTCACCATTGAACTCTCACAGGTGCGGTTCCAGTGCGGTGATCGGTTTTCGAAGCTGCGAAGAGACGAAGAATCGACATCGAGTTACCTTGGCGTATACTAGTAACTAGTACACACACAGATATATATATATATATAATATAATACACTTTTATACACCTGTTTATAGTCTAGCAACGAACACCCTGCTAAAGAGATCAGAGACAGACTTGAGACTGTCTCACGGTATTGGAGCGAAACACATCGGGTTTTTCTCGGCGTCTGACGGTCGTGTCATGTGTTTCTAAATGAACGGGGGGCTCCTACGAGGCCCCTTTGCGCCGAGTGTGGCCGCCTCCAAAGACCGGCCGAAATCGATGGCTTTGGAGCCCAACATGACTCGGTGAAAACCCACCGGTGACCCGGGAACCGCGCATCCGCGCGGGCGGAACCGCATGCTCGCCGGGCACGGACCGACCGCGGGGCACGTCCAAGCGCGTGACGCAGGGCATCCAGTCGCTCTCGGGCGGCATCGATTTGCCGAGCCCGGAGCCCACGGAAGTGGATCTGCGAAATCAGACCTTGAACGACGTGGCCAAGGAGACGTGGAGACAGGTGGAGACCGGTGACGAGTGATTTCGATGTTTTTAAAGGCATGTTGGATTCGATTCTGGGACTGAGCTCGTGTGACTGTGGAACCCAGGCTTGAGAAGTTTAGGGTTTGAAGACCATTTGGATGCTGAGAGCTCTTGAAGTATTTTTGAAATCATCTTCATGTCAAAGGGTTCCAAAAGTTATATAAGTGTTGGGCAGCGTTGCTTCCAATCAAATAACAGCCAATGCTCCTGAGACACGAAATTCAACCCTTCAACAGAAAGCGCCCAGCCCAAAAACCTGAGTTCCTTCGGGTTCGGGTCCACATCGAAGAATCCGATTCCAGGACCATCCAGAGCTGGTCACCAAGTATGAACAGCTCCTGGAGGCGGTATGACGAGTTTCAGCCGCTCCAGCCGAACATGTTCGGCCGAAAGCGTCGTTTTTCGGGGTGCAAGCTCCCTTTTTTGAGGAGGGTGAAGCCTCCTTGTGGAAGGGTCTGCTAGGAGGGGATGAGCCACGGTTCCTGTGTCTTTTGGCATACCTTCCCGCGGAGAAGAAGGGCATGAGCCCAGAGACCACCTTGGTAGGTTTGGTGTCGCCAAATCGAGCAATACCTGGAGACCACCTTGGAAGGTCAGCAGAAGGAGCAAGCCCATGGCGTTGGGCAGGGCGGGCAGGGCGTTGGGCTGAAAAGGTCTGGGGGTGGAGCAGTTCTACTGATTCTATGGTATTTTCGCAAAGGTGAAGACTGAGGACCTGTTCATGACACAGGTGGTTTTGTAAGCTGAGGCTCTGCGCAGGCTCTGCCAGGCTCTGCCAGGCTCTGCTCTGCTTACTATCCATCATCCATAGTTTTTGTTTGCAAGAAACATGCGGCGTGATGGCATGTGTTGATTTGGGACACCTGAAAACCAGGGCTCACCGACCTCACTGGCACCGACTCGTCCTGGCAGGACTCTGCAGGGGACCAAGGGCCCCGAACGGAGCTGGACTTCTGGCGAAACAGGCGGCTGGACGTCCAACCGTGGGGAGGTTTTGGAACATGGCACCCAGTGCCACGACACCCGACTCCCGAACGACGTATACCCTGGGCGAAAGCCAAAAAAGACCATCGACACCTTCTCCCAACAGCGGAAGGTCCTAAGCAGTCCTGGAACTCAGACTGACCAAAGAAGGACCGCTGGCCCTGGCGCTTTCTCCTCCACCAGTCACGTGCGAATTGCACCGGTTGAGGCTACAGAAGATCACCTCGATCACGGAGCAACTCAGGTGCACCTCGAAGGGTGGCGGATCACGCGACTGGTGTGCAGAAACCGGTGTGCAGAAACCTCCGCCAGGACGAAAGAGCGGAAGATGGTCTTCGGCTTGCTGCGTACTATCACAAACGTGAGTCAGGAGGCGGCTCCGGTGAAAGAGCCTCTCCTTTGGTCCTTTGTAAATCCTTTGTCACAGAAACTATACTCAAAGTGCTTAGGAGTGAATCTGAACAAATTTCTGTGATGAACTGCCAGTGCAGGAAAGTGCTGTGAGCCTTTCTATCGGCTTTACAGATCTGCAATTTGCCGCAAGACATGTGATTCTGTCGAAGAAGTTCCGTTCCCGCCAGTCACGTTCCTGAAACCACCACCCCCCGCCAGGTAGCTCCGAAGAACCGCCAGTCAGCGCTTTGGCTTCCGGTCCCGGGTGCAGAGGTCCCGGGTGCAGAGGTCCATGGAGGGACCCAACGCTTCGACCAAACGCTTTGAACTCGGAGGGTTTTGTTAGAACGTGCTTGGAACCTGTGGAAAGCAAGTGACGTTTCTGGAATACATTTTGGTCTTGATGTTTCCTGAAACTTTGTTTTCTTTTGGTGGAGACCCTTGCCGTAGTCAACGGCCCGTAGCGGGCCACACGGCTCGGTGGACACGGCTCGGTGGACACTCGGGTGAAAACACCCGTCCATTCGTTGAGGATTCTGTAGGATTGTATACCAGGACCCCCCAAAGGGGTGTCTATTGATGGCCCCATAGAGGTCCACGGGTGTCCATTAACCACCCCGACAGTGGGTCCTAGTAGTAATTCTGTATGAGAGGGTTTCTCTCGTGACAGTTCTGGGAGCTGCAAAGGTTTTCAACACGCTCCGGAGATGGAAACAGATTGAGATTGCCATCACCGAAGCGTTCAACGAGGCCAAAGACAATGTGACTTGGAGAGGAGAATCAGTGAGGAAGGATGGGAAGAAGTATCCACACGAAGTCCCACAGGTCTCTTTCACTTGGTCTGTCTGGCACTTCTGTGCAAACGAGACATACTAATTTACTAACGAGGCTTGGCCGTGAAAAAGTCCTGGAGCATTCAGCTCCCTGAGCAAGTTTGTGAGTTTGGGGTTCTTGCGTCTTTTGTCGAATTGGGGAGAGGGGCTTAGTTGCCCTGCTTGCCTCGCGCTGTGTCGTTGCCACTTTGGTTGCACTCCTCCTTTTTCTTCGCTCTCGCTCAGACCACAGGAGCTTTCAGAAGTCTGGACGAACGGTATGTGCTTTACTCCTCCCAACTGAGGTGAAGTATTTGACAACCTTAGAGAAGTTCATCGAGCCATTGTACACAGGCACTCCAAGCACCATCATCGAAGCCTTGCAGCAAACTGGTGCAGGATCATGCAGCCGCAGCTTCTGGATCCGTCGATGAATCGGTACAAGAAACAAAGAGCTTTCGGGGTCTTCAAGACATCCTGTGGTGCAGGATCATGATGGCTAAACAATCCAACACCTCGTTTTTCTCCGTGGCTTTCTCTTCATGTCAGTCATGAGAGGATGGCAACTTAAACACCATAAAAAAGCGGAAAGCCATCAGTTCGGTCTCTGCTTCTTCCAGTTTCGTTCGACCCCCAACACCTCACCGACCCCTCCGAAACCTCCGTAAGTCCGGAGGTCGTCTTTGGACGGCGAAAAAACGCCCATCCCCCAAGCCTGGTTCACTTGATGTGTTTTCATTTGGCCAAGACAAGAGTGACTATATAGATCCGAAAAAAGTTAGGAAGTGGGACTTGCTGCTCCAAAGCAAGGACGCAAGGAGATAAGAGATGATAAGAGCAGCAAGGTCGCGTGACAAGTGCAAAGAATCTTACACGTCAAACCCTGCCAGAAAAGATCCAGGAAGCAAAGCTAGACTGACTTGCAAAACTTCCAGAAGGCACCTCGTTTTCCCGAACCTAGCCTCAAAACGCCACTCTAAACGGGCACCATTTTTTTTTGGTGCCCGGGAGCTTCTGTTCTCGGGCCAACGGAGCCGTCACATTCCCGTCTGAGGACACCCTGCCAGCATTGATGTGCCTTGGGTCGACACGGTCCGACGTCCGATGTCCGCCGGTGAAAGCCCGGTGGTGCGACACCTCTCAGGTCGCACGGCCAAGATGAGTGTCACCTCCGGTGTAGTGAACATCTGGGCGTTTCTTTTTGGTGCTTGAGATTGGCAGTCATGAGTGAACATCTGGGAGTTCTGAGGGGCTTCTAGTGTTTGAATTGAACGAACTCCACAGCTAGACGGCAGTGGTGCTTTGTTTTTCGAGGAATGCGGTGAAGATGATCCACACAATCGCACGCTACTACAACACAACCGAATCTTGACTGACATGCGACTGGGGCGGGTGGTTCGATACAAGGTGGAGGTACGTGAAACGCTCAGGACAAAGGACTTTTGACAAAACGGAGCCTGGAAATAGACAAGTATCTAACATGGCCTGCGGCCAGGACAGCTGGCGACACGTATTTCTGGACTAGCCCAGGATTCCTCTGGTGCCCTTTTTGTATCACAGGGGTCAAGAAAGGGCAGCATCCAGCTTCCAGCTTCCGGCGTGTTGAAAAGGTACATCATCCCCCCTGCTGCTATGACCAGGTTTCAGCCGGAGACCTCCTATGAATCGAACAGTTGTGAACTGGGCCCCTTTGGCCGGTCTGCACCAAGCTGTAGCCCCAAATCGAAATGCGAGACGTGTCCGGCGGCTGTCACCTTCGAGACCAGTCTTGTGGATGGGTCCGAAGACGAAAAAGCACTGGTAGTGGATGCCCTCAACATTTTGGGCGACTTTCCTGGCGACTTCGTGTGAGTTTGGGCGACTTTGCAGGAACGCATGACCAACCTTTTCGCCAAGATCACCAACCAGATGATCACCAATTGCAAGGAGAGCGTCTCAAACGCACGCGAGCACGCTTTAAAGCTAAATGGCTAGGCCGGCTAGGCTTCATGATTTGATTTTTTCTTGCAAGGCCCATGAGGAAATGGAGTGAACTCCTCTCTAGACAGAGGCCTCTGACTAGGAACTTGCTGTGACCTGGGCAGTTGTGACGACGAATTGTGACCTCTGACAGGAATGTGTTTTGGAAGGTGAAGAGTCAGAGTTCTTGTGGCAGAAAGATCCCTTGGTGCTCATCAAGTCCCTTGGATTCCTTCGTTCTTCTTCCGTTCTGGGTTCGTTTTGGTGATGAAGTTCGTGTTGGCGAACTCGGACCTCGAGGTTCCTCTCGCTGCCATCTCCGGCATTTGAAGGATATGTTTTGGATCCTCCAAGCGTCCCCCAAAACAGCCCAAACTGCCTCGAACCTTTACGGCTCGACCCCACACCCAGACGGATTTCGGCTCCGAAACTCGGCTCTCCGCGCGCGCCTTGGCGCCACCAACGGCCGTCCCCCGACCAGTCGACCGTTCCGGGAAACCGAGGAATCTCTGGTCCTGCATCCGTCTGAATGATGAATACCAGGAGTACTATCGCCAGACGAAGGAGACTCTTTTGACCCTTCCCAAGGGCACCTGGGCAGGATGTAGTTCTCAAACACATCGTTGACAGAAACACCCGTTGACATACGTGGTGAACATGAACATGTTGAACATGTCCATCTGTCGACATGCAACTCGATTATTCCTTCCCATGTTGAACTGCCAACCGGCCACCCGAACTCGCCGTTGGACCAACCCATCGAGGCAAACAGTTCGACTTCAGCGAGACGCTGATTTTCGGTCGTTTCGACCTCTTCTGCCGACGAGTCACGAAGCTCATCGACATGTTCCAGACGGTGCATCAGTTCACGTTCCTTGATGGCATGCCGAAACTCCATGAGTGTCGGGCACAACCAACGTCGTGTTTTATTGTTCGTTCGTTTTTCCAGTGGCTTTCTTTTGGAACATTGATCCATGTTGATCATATAGAGTTCCGAGACTCAACCTGGAGACGGGGACCTGAGCCAAACCTGAACCCGTATCAAATGAGTGGGTGAAACACCTAGACCTAGCGGGGACCTAGCGGCTCAGGCGGCTCAGGCCATTTAGGAGCCCACAGGCCCAGGCTGCCTGGATCTTGCCTCCAACCCAAAAACGCCTGTCACGTCCGTTTTTTTGGAAGGATTATATACATGTTTGCACTTCCAAGACTGTCCCGGACATGGCTCCATCAGTTCCATTTCATTTCCACCTCTGCTCGCGCCTTCCGCTCGGGCGGTCTGCCGGGGCTCTCAGGTCTCTGTCCCAGCACCGGTTCGATGGGATGGAGCCACTGGTCTTATCCTTTAAGAAGACCCTGGAGGAAGCGGTGCACCGCGACGACCAAACCAGCTGCGGTTTGCGACCAAACCGGCCGTGCATGCGATGAGGGAGACCAGTGTTTTTGGAGAATAATGCCAATCTAGTCAAGGAAAGGTCAGATTGAGCAGCTGTGCCATGATGCCATGATGCCATGTAGGCTGACTGGGCTGACTGCTGACATGGGCTGAGCATTCTTACCGCACCGATCCTGGGTTCACCCGTTGCTTGCGCTCCTTTTGCTTCCTATTCCCGTAAGCGGCGTTCGCTTGGCCTGGGCCGGCACAGTGGCCACCCTCCACCTCAGTCGGAGGGACGCTCACGTCCACGCAGGAGTTCCAGTTCAAGCGACACGACCTCTTGGAGCTTCGGCGGCGTGGACGGGGTGGACGGGTCATGGAAGGCCGGGTCGTTTGGTCACGGGGTGGGGGGGGGGGGTGTTCAGGTCATAGGGGGAGACGTGTGGGTGGGGGTGTTAAGAAAAGTGAAAGACACCGGTCCACAGGACAAGGGTTGAGGATCAGCTGAACGGGAACGATGGAGGTCAAGAATTCATCCATATCGTCAGAGCTGTTACATAAATCTCTACACGTCGGGCCCCTCAAAGGTGGTTTCTGGACACCCCTTCACCTCCAAGGACGAACACATATCTAAGGGTCCCGGTACTTTTTTTGTTTCGTGAGACTTCTTCACTGAACCGCTTTCAAACAGAGCTTCGATCGTCTTCGATGGTCTTGGCATCCATGGCCCATCCACGGCGAAAGTGGCCCTTGGCTGACTTCCGTTGGAGCGAAGAATGCAGAAGGCACGACCTCGCCGGCTGTTTTCCGGCGTTTTTCTGCAGGGAATTCGTTCATTCCGGACCTGAAAAAGGGATCTCCTGTGGCAATCGGAATCGTGGTTTGTTGCCACGAACCGAAGGGAACGCTTTGGGGGTCGATGGGATCCGAACCGAAGAACCCCCGGAAGAACCCCGTTGGGAACGGTGGGGTTCCTTCGGTGAGACCGAGGACTTCCACAACAACCGCTTCGACCGGGACTACGTGGAGTTCAACGTCCGTATCTCCGATGCCTGCTCCGAAGGGGGTTAGAAATTGGACGGGGGTTGGCGCCACCTGACGAGGGGTGCCGCCAAAGGGGTTGGGGGTTTGGGCCGATCTCGGTCAACTGCGACGAGTCCGTTGCGCCGTGCTGAGGCACTGGAAGCGGTTTTGCCAGCTGGAGACAGTTTCTCTTGGGTGTGTTTTTTGGAAAGCTTCCTGCAGTTTCTGGCGTCCTGAGCGGTTTGGGTTCGATCGCCATTTTTACGTGTGGGAGGCGACATCTTCACGATTTCTGGGGGCGGCACAGTTGGAGGGCTTTGGTTACCTGGTTCTTCAAAGTGACCTTTTGATATCCCTGTTTGAGGTCACTTGGGCCTGTAGAAGGTCACTTAGGCACTCCAAAGAGGTCACTTTGAAGAAGCTGGTATTTGGCAGGATTCGCTCGTGCAAATCACTTCTGGTAGCCCCACTGAGTGCTCGAGCTTGTCGCTCTCTGTGCGCCTTGAGCGCGACGCGTTTTGCGTGGCGTTTCGCGTGACGCTTGTGGTGAAACTGGTGCTCGAGTCCTCGGATCATCTCAGGATCTGGAGAGCAACCTGAGAATGTTCATCAATCAGTCTTTTGAGGTCCCTGGAGCTGCAAGCAACGTCGACGTCTTCGGAGCCATTTGTATGGGTCTTTTTGGGTCCGCGGTTGAACGGTTGGTGTACACCACCACTTAGGTGACACACAGCTGGTCAACCGTGGGCTGTTGCAAGTAGAGCAGACTGAACCAAGGATGGATGTCAAGCCAACAAGAAAGAACTCTTTTTGATGCATCTACCAGCACCCTCCAACAGGCTGTTACTTGAGGGTTGTTGGACCCTAACAGGTCTATTGGTGACCTGTCGGAGGGTCACAGACTAGTGTCTTCAGACACCAACCCTTTTTCCACCCTTAGAGTCGCGAAACACTTCGACCGAGGCCATTGCCTCGATCGAATCTTCCTTGAAGCTGCTTGCGAAGTTCCAGAGCATCTTGCAGCGCGACAGCTGCGACCTCAGAAGTGTTGCGTCAGTCCGTTTTGTGACCTGCAGTGACCTGGGCTTCTGTCTTTTGGGGACACCAAAAGACAGGAAGTTGGCCTCGAAGAACCATCTCTGAAGCCTTCAGCCTGCTTTGAAGGCCTGGTCTTGAGCCCTGAAAATCCAACCGAATCTCCATCTTCTCCATCTTCAGAAGTCACATACAAGGGGTGTTTAGTTTTTTTTCTTTTTCTCATCCAAAAACCGTGGATGTGATGTCGGGGCACTTCCTCCTTCCTCCTTCCTCCTTCCTCCTTCCACCGGCACCGTCTGTTCGGAGACTGACCGTGACAGGTGAACCGTGAGACGGACCAGAGGCGATCCAAGCGAGCTGAGGCTTGCGACAAGACCTGGAGACGAAGTTTGCGGTGATCTTTCACAACTACGGCTTGGAACTCACGCATGTGCAAGACCAGTACGAGAAATACAAGACAGGCAATCTGGGTCACAGAGAGCTGTGGACCTGTATAATATTAGCACATTCCTCTGAAGCTTGCACCATCTGACAGCTAAGAACGAAGATATTTGGGCTTGGATTGGGCTAGAAGACACCACTTTCAGGCAAACTTGAGTTCTTTACCAAGTGTTTGGGAATGTAAACTAATTCAGCAATGAACACGTTTTGCAACGCCTTGGTCACCTTGGTTGCTTTTCACATCCAGATCACGTATCAAAGAAAACCCAAGCACGGCACTGCTTGGAACATGGCCTGTTCATGGCCGTTTGGACTTGAATTTGTTTTCTCATTTTTGTCGGGCGTTTAGATCAAAAGAGTTACTCCTGGTGTGTCCGCAGAGCCAGTCAGGAAGGTGTGCAGACTGTGCAGATTTTATGTCGTAGTTTCTGATGATTTTCCCATGGGGCCGCCGGACTGGTGTGGTGTGACGTGGGCCGCTTCGCTCTTGCTCGTGTTCCGTTCACCTCTCCTTTCTACCATCGTCAGAGATCACCGGCGGGGTCTCCATATTTTTACTACACTACACGCTTACTACCAAGAGTCACATGGAGTTGGGTGGTGTGGCTCGTCCCAGCCGTTCGGGGCCGTGGATGTGTACTCCTTCCTCCTTCCTCCGGCACACCGGCACCGTTCGCTCTGTGACTCCTGGTACACCGTCCACACATTCAAGAACCTTCCAAACACCACTGAATCGAACACCTGTCGATTTCGGTGAACGGGGCAAGATCGAGATTCGTCGAGACGTGCGAGTCGAGGTGTCCTCGTCTCGCGAGTGGCGGGTCGAGACACCCGCGGGGGCTCCCATGTCTAGTGCTGGCGAGTAAGGAGCCATTTTCGTCATGTCATTGTCTTCAGGCAGACTTACCCGTCACCAACCAAGTCACTGTAGCAGCGAGCTGTTTCAGGAACACGGGAGTCTCTCATGGTTTGTCCTTTGACTGGTTCGTCTTTCGAAAACGCATGCCGGGTGACTCTTTGCTGAATAGAGGATGGTGTGCTGTGAGCGGTTTGCGCGCGTCCGCGAAGCTGGGCAGGTCCGCCACTCGTGAGGAACTTGCCTCCAGTAGCAGGGCACATTACGTGGTCCAGGCACCTCTACAGGCGGGAGGTTTTGGAAAGGGAGGGGAATTGATGCAAACAGTGAGTTCAGACCACCCAGATGAAACTATGACCCTAAGAGCGATGGCCTCCAACCTAGTAGTGATGGCCTCCACCCTAAGAGTGATTGCCTCCACCCTAAGAGCGATGACCTCCAAACTAGTAGCAGTAGCGATGGCCTGACACTGTCATCATTTCACTTTCCAACCAATCCTCTTGTGAGGCGAATCGAGGGGCCCATGCAGAAGTTCCAGACCAATCCAGCTGTCTTGGTCATGGTCCAAGCTGTTGTCATGCAGCTTTTGGTCGTGCAGACGACCGGTGGGGCGGAATCACCGACTGCACCTAGCTTTTCAGCTGCCGACTTCAAGAGCATCATCTACTGTAGGTACCTCCTCAGGTTCGGTATGACTGGACCCGAACATGGCACCCACCCCAGTCCCACAAACGAAGCTACGACTGGATTTTTAGGGAGGTGCCTTTCTTGGAAGATGAGGTCCTTTCCGTCGCTGAGGCTGGAAGGGACTCACGTAAGTTGATCCGGATGTACAACAAGACGCTCGCTTGGAACTCGTTCACCGGATGGCGGTGACGCCGTAGAAGTGACTGAGTGGTGTTGCCAAGCTGGGGAAGTGACTGCATGACTGCGCTGTTCCTCAGGTTGAGAAAGGGAGTTTGTGACACGTAGATGACATCCAATGATCACTCGGAATTTGTGGAGGCCATGTGGTTTTTGTGTGTCCTTGGCCGCTTCGGGAGACTCGCGTTGTCCAGCTTCGAAGCATGCCTCTGGAATCTAAGGATGGCCAAGACCTTGGTCGAGTTTGAAACACTCTGGTACCAGGCGATCTTCGAAGACAAATCGCCCGTGGCGTCCGGTGTCCGTGTTTATTTGCATCTTCATATACGAACCGCGCCCTGTTCGGCCAACCCCACGAAAACATTTGCACATGTTCGGCACCCAAACAACGCCCGTTCTGCCTGGACCATCAACGCCTGGCCTCAGCACCTTCAACGCTTCTTGCCGAATCCAGGCCTGGGTAAGCAGCATCGAGACGGTGAAGTCGGGTCTTCAAGCCACCTTGATCATCAAGTCTCCTGGTGGAACGAGGGCGAGGGTGAGGGGAGGGTCGTGCGAAGCGAAGGACCCATTGGTTTCCGGTCGTGCTGTTTTCAACACATGCTATGACTAGGCCCCTAATACACGACCCTGCAACGCTGCAACACCTTAACTTATATTATTTATATAATATATATATACATATATATATATATAAATTACTATAACCACGCCTGCCAAGCCACCAAAATACATGGTATGGAGGTCTGGCCCAGCCAGGACTGTCCAGGACCCCTCGCGATGTGCTAGATTCTTTTGGAGTCGATGGACTCGTGAACATCGTGAACATCGAGTTGAGTCACCAACAAGAGACCTTCTTTTCCCCGCGGACGTGGGACGAAGGGCGCAAGCGCCCTAAGCCTTGTTCTGTGTCGTTCTCCTGGTCTTTTTTCCGGTGGGTTGAAGGCTTGTTCATCTGGGACGAAGGGTTTGGTTCTTGGTTCTTCGAGGCACCCGGATGATGGGATGCGTTTCCATGTGAACTTCGATTGGGAGATTCTGCAGCTCATTCGTGAGACGCGCTGTCTCGACCGCATGGGCTGCTTGGAGAGGGAATTTTCAAAGAGCGTGGGAGGGGGAAGTGGTTGGAGTAGGAGTAGGTGAGAATGTGATGTTAGGTCACTTTTGAGGAGCATACTAGGCCCTGCCCTCCCGATCATTTTTTGATCATTTTTCTCTATTTTGCTGTGGAGAGGACGTGGTTCTTGTGGGATGTGCTTACCAATCTTACCCGCCCCTCCAACCATCTTTTGTTTGTTGGCATGGCCACCAAGCCGCCCTGGGAAGGTCATAGGTCGGTTCTCCAGCAAGTCACCGGGGCGGACGTGTCTTCCTCTCGCACGTGACGTGTCCACGAAGCACACGACACTCGACCCCGACCAGCGTGGAGACGTCGAGACGGTCGGTTTCGACCCGACGAAGGAGGCGTTGAGATTCCAGAATCCGCCAAGATGATCTTGCTACAGGACAGTACTGGGGCTTCTGCTGTACATGGGCGGCAGGGCACCTAAAAGCGAAGAATGAGACAAACCGCTGCAATCTGTCAATAGGGTCTTTCGTCTCGAGTCTCGTTCGTCTCACCGCACCATGACCACGATTCGAAGCGGGGTCATCTTCGGGACGGGACGGGACACGGGTGGTTTCCGCGTCCTGTGTCCCCGAACGCAGAGGAGAAGGACCGGACCTTGAAGAATGGCAATGGATGCAGCTTGAATGCTTCAACTTGTTTCCCTTCCAAGATGGAAAGTTCATGTACCACATACCGAAGAGACTTCTTTCAGCGATTACTTCGTAAAGAAAGCCCTCTGGGCCGTGATCGGCCCCAAACGCAGAAGCTCCGCAATAGACATCCATACAGTCCATGGACCATCCATAGTCCATCCATTCATAGTCCGCACGAAGCAAAAACGACAGGAGCAAAAGTTCAAGACCTACAACCATGAGCTCTCCTTCTTCTTGAAGGAATACCGCCGCGTCACGCAGTCCGTCAAGCCGATCGCCACGAATTTGATGCGGCCTCATATGGAGAACCTGGAGTTCAAAATGAGGCGCGGACGGGACGTACCAGCTTCTTCAAAGTGACCTCTTTGGAGTGCCTAAGTGACCTTCTACAGGCCCAAGTGACCTCAAACAGGGATATCAAAAGGTCACTTTGAAGAACCAGGTATGTGTGTGGGACATACGCTTGCCCTGTTTCTTTTCACGAAAGCTAGCGAAGCTAGCTGGAGTTACTCTTGCGATAGCAAGGTTTCTTTCGA